ACCGCACTGGAGAGCAGTGTGGGGGCACCCACACCGCCCAGCGCTGCTTTGGCCGCCTGACGGACGCTTGGCGCCAGCAGTTCCCGGAGGCCGCGGAGATCCCCCGCTGGGGAGAGCTGTCTAGGGCTGGTGTAGCTATCTTTGATCTTGATTTTGATGCTATCCTTGCTGCCATGTATGCTGTGACCATTAGTGATAAGGGTGACTGTTACCGGTGTTTCCCACCCGACCCGGGCATTGGTACTGCTGCTCCAGGTGCCGGTGAGGCTTCTGCTCTTGGTGCCAGTGCGTCTGTGCTCTCAGGTGCTGGTGAGGCTGCTCTCTCAGGTACTAGTGCGTCTGCGCTCTCAGGTACTGCGTCGGCTTCGGCCTCCCACACCTTCACTCTTGACTCTGGAGCGTCTCGCTCATTCTTTCGGGACCGCACCACACTCACGCCGCTTAGTCGGCCGGTTGCGGTTTCCCTGGCTGACCCCTCTGGGGGTCCTGTCCTGTCTCGCTTCTCCACAGTCCTCCCGTGTCCGGCGGCTCCCTCTGGCACCCTGTCTGGTCTTTACCTCCCCTCGTTCTCTACGAACTTGGTGAGTGGTGCTGACCTACAGGATGCGGGAGTCCACCAGTTCACCCCTGCTCGTCAGCGAGTGACGCACTGCACAGAGGCTAGCACGGGTCGTCACCTGGCCACGTTTACACGTCAGCCAGGGTCGAGCCTGTACACACTGACCACTGCTTCTCCTCCAGGTGCTGAGTCTGGTAGAGTCCCTTCGTCTGGTCAGGTGTTTGCTGCAGCGTCGAGGTCTGGTCCTTAGTCTGCCCCCTGTTCGTGTCGCCGTCTGTCTCACGAGACCCTCCTCTGGCACCACCGCCTTGGCCACCCCTCTCTGCTTCGGCTCAGAGGCATGGCCTCCCGTCTTCTTGTGTCTGGTCTCCCCCGGTCCCTCCCTCCCCTTCCTCAGGGCCCTGGCCCTGCCTGTGTCCCCTGTGTCGAGGGGCGCCAGCGTGCTGCCCCTCACTCCTCCCAGTTTCCTCCGACAGAGGCTCCGTTGCAGACGCTTCACATGGACGTGTGGGGCCCTGCCCGCGTCCGTGGACTCGGTCACGAGCGCTACTTCCTGTTGGTGGTTGACGACTACTCGCGTTACACCACAGTCTTCCCCTTGCGCAGCAAGGGTGATGTCACTGAGGTGGTGATCGACTGGATCCGCGCAGCTCGACTCCAACTCAGGCTGAGCTTTGGCTCGAACTTTCCTGTGTTGCGTCTGCACTCGGACAGAGGCGGAGAGTTCTCCTCTGGCCTTCTGCGTGCCTACTGTCGTGCGCGAGGCATCCGCCAGACCTTCACGCTTCCGGACTCCCCGCAGCAAAATGGGATTGCAGAGCGCCGCATTGGCATGGTCATGGACGTCGCCCATACGTCTATGATGCATGCGGCTGCCCCCCATTTTCTGTGGCCGTTTGCGGTCAGGTACGCGGCGCATCAGATCAACCTTCACCCTAGGGTCTCCAGGCCGGAGACCTCTTCAGTCCTGCTGTGGACGGGGAAGGTTGGCAATGCGTCGGCGTTCCGGGTCTGGGGATCTCGGGCGTTTGTCCGCGACTTGTCTGCGGACAAGCTGTCCCCTCGCGCTGCTCCCTGCGTCTTCCTGGGGTTCCCCCCCGACGCCCCTGGGTGGCAGTTCTACCACCCCACCTCTCGACGTGTTCTGTCCTCCCAGGACGTCACGTTCGACGAGTCGGTACCCTACTACCGCCTCTTTCCCTACCGCACTCCGTCCCTCCCCCCGCCCCCGCTCTTCTTGGTACCAGGTCCCCCCCCCCGGTAGACCCCCTCCCCCCTCAGGGTCCTGCCCCTTCAGGTGTGTCCCAGGTAGACACGCTCGAGCCTGTCGAGGTCACTGGTGACTCTGGTGCTGCTGCGGGAGCTGAGCCTGGGGGTGCTCGGACTGGAGGCGCTACGCTTGGGGGTGCTGAGCCTGGGGGTGCGGAGTCTGGAGGTGCTGAGCCTGCGGGTGCTGAGCCTGGGGGTGTTGAGCCTGGGGGTACTGAGTCTGGGGGTGCTGAGCCTGGGGGTGCTGGGCCTGGGGGTGCTGAGCCTGGCGGTGCTGAGACTGGGGGTGCTCCGCCTGGCGGTGCTTCGTCTCGCCGAGAGCCACTCTCCCCACAGGAGCTGCGTGAGTGGTTTGCCCGGCGCTGGAGGCGTGCTGCTGGTGCTGGAGGTTCTTCGGCTGCAGAGGGTGCTGCTGCCGAGCGTCCCGGAGGTGCTCGTGCTGTGGGTGCTGGAGCTGCTGGGTCTGAGGGTTCTCCTGGAGCTGGTGCTGCTGAGGGTGTTGGCGCTGAGACTACCGCTGGCGGTCCGACTGGCAGTGCTCGTGGTGGTGCTACTGGAGGTTCTGGAGCCACTGGAGGTGCTGCTGGAGCGGGTACTCCTCCTGGGGGTACTGGTGCTGTCCCTGCTGTTTCTAGCGTCGCCACGCGGCCCCGACCGTACTTCGTTCCGCTCCTGCAGCAGGTTCTTGGTCTTACACCTTCTCCTGGTCCTCCTCCTCCTCCCTTAGAGGGTCAACAGCCTGTCTCGTCACAGTCACATCTACAGCCTGCCTCCCCTTTGCCTGCTCCTTCTCCCTACGCTGGTCCGACTGGAGGTCTTACTGAGCGTCGTGAGCCTGCGTCTCGTCCTGCGTCGCCCGTTCGTGCTGCGCGCACGAGTGGTCTCGGTTCGCGTCAGCGTCCTCCTCCTGTCCCTGGCACGCACCGGATGTCTCTGCGTCCGTCCACTGCTCCTCTGCGTGCCCCTTTGCCTTCTCCTCCTGCTTCCTCTCTTCCTGCTCTTGCCGACCCGGAGTCGGACTCTCTTCGTGCTGCCAGTCCTACTGTCACGCGTCTCCTTGCTACTGCTGTCACTGACCCTTCTTTTGAGTCGTCTGCTGCGTCTGCCCTTGTCACTGAGCTCGTCGACTTTGCTGCGCGCTGTCGTCTAGACTACGCTGCTAGTCTTGTCGCTGAGTCTGAGTCGGCCTGTCCTCCGTCCGTCGGGGGTGAGTGTGCCCTTGGCACGGACGTCCTTGAGGACAGGCAGGAGGAGTTCCAGTGTCTGGCCGCCGCTTCACCTCATCTCGCGTCTGTACTGCTAGCCCCTGAGGGAGACCCGGATGCACTAGACATCCCGACTCCGCGCTCTTACGCGGAGGCGATAGAGGGTCCCTACTCCTCTCAGTGGCAGGCAGCTATGGATTCAGAGATGGCTTCCTGGAAGTCCACAGGCACCTACGTTGACGCTGTTCCCCCTCCTGGGGCGAACATCGTCAGTGGCATGTGGATCTTCAGGGTGAAGCGGCCGCCGGGTTCTCCGCCTGTCTTCAAGGCGCGTTACGTGGCTCGTGGCTTCAGTCAGCGACAGGGGGTTGACTACTTTCAGACCTTCTCCCCCACCCCGAAGATGACCACTCTTCAGGTACTGCTGCACGTTGCTGCTCACCGTGACTACGAGCTGCACTCTCTCGACTTCAGCACAACTGGCTTCACTGGGTCTTTCCCTCCTGGTACCCAGTGGAGTCTCCGGCGTCCAGTCTACGGTCTCCGCCAGGCGCCACGTGAGTGGCACGACACACTGAGGACTACGCTGGCGGCACTTGGGTTTGCTCCTTCTACTGCCGACCCGTCGCTGTTTCTTCGCACCGACACCTCTCTGCCGCCGTTCTACATCCATCTTAGCATTCTCGCACGCTATGTTGCTCCTAGGAGACACCGACCAGAGCACATGGCTGCAGCGAAGAGGGTGTTGCGCTACTTGTGCAGTACGTCGGGCATGGGGCTAGTGCTTGGAGGGCGCAGTCCAGTGGTCCTCACTGGGCACGCGGACGCTTCTTGGGCTGACGACCAGGCTACGCAGCGGTCGTCACAGGGTTACACCTTCAGCCTTGGTTCCGGCTCTGTTTCGTGGCGGGCTACCCGCTCGTCTTCTGTTCTCGGCTCCAGTTGTGAGGCTGAGATCTACGCCGGGGCTATGGCTGCACAGGAGCTTCGCTGGCTTACCTACCTGCTGACTGACCTCGGAGAGCTGCCTCGTTCTCCTCCGGTGCTGTACGTAGACAACAAGGCCATGCTAGCCTTGTGTCGGGAGCAGCGCCTGGAGCACAGAACGAAGCACATTGCTCTCCGCTACTTTCTTGCTCGTGAGTTGCAGCAGCGTGGTCAGTTGCGACTTGCGTACGTGGCCTCTGAGGCCAACACTGCTGATGTTTTCACCAAGGCACTTGCGCCTTGTGATCATCAGCGCTTCTGTTCTCAGCTTGGTCTTGTGCCTGTCTTGCCTCACTTGCTCACCTCTTGACCTTGCTTGTACTGTTACATATATATACACCTGCTCTTGCTTGTCTAGCTTTCTATGTATATGTACTCATGCATGTGAACTGGCCTTGTGGCCTTGAACTTGTGCTCGGAATGTGTGGTGACTTTGTGATCCACCCTGAGCTTGCTTTGCTTAGCTTTGCTTGACTGGTCTTGTGACCGCTTGTTCTCCCCCACTTTGCCTATGGGGGTGTGTCAGAACATTATAGCTTAAGCCTTTGTGTAGGCTGTAGTGGGGTAGCCCATATGGGGTACAACCCAATTAGGGTTAGTACTTGTACCCAACTGTTTCATAGTTCATTCATTCTCGTTCACATTTTCTCACATGTGTGCACACATAAACCACACACGGCGCACATCATGGCGACACAACCGTATCGGTGGAACTCGTTTGTACGTACATCTTGTCTAACGAAAGTGTTCACTCTGCACGTTGTTGACGTACATCCTTTCATTATACATGTCACCAATTGCTCGTTACACTACCACACAATGTACCGAACATTTGACCACCATAGTGTAAGCAATAGCCTTCGCACCCATCAATTACGAATACCAGCAGAAAATCTAACGCCCTGCACATCTCCCACAGAATTACTCGAAAATGATACCGCACAATTGCATTCATGTGTACGTCTATGCATCTACACCAACTACGCAGGATGTTCTGCCAACATCTCATGTGCAGCAGACTCTTCGACACCCTCCTCCGCTTCCTTGTGCCGAGCACACCCGCTGCTACCGTTGTGCACGAGGGCCGTTCCCCCACTCTCAACATTGTCAGGGTCGTCTGGTTCGTTGGCCGCCTTGTTTCTATCCACCACCCTCTGCCTCTTTGACGTGCGCGTGGCAACCACTCGCTTCCTCCCTCGTTTCATCTTCCAGTTCACGCCCTCCCTCGCCTCCCGCCAGCTCCGCCACCTCCACCACTTCCGCCCTTCCACGAGGAGCTGCAGATCTTCCTTGGTGCATCCACGCAGCATCGCCTTCTCTGCGGCTGACAGACTGACCGTGTTGGGTATCTTGTCTCGTGGCCTCAGGAAGAACGCACCTGCGGCGTACGCATACGCCGCCTCCTCCTCCGATGTGTATGCACCCAGCCGCTGTTGCCTACGCTTTCCTCCTTCTTTGATCAGGATCTTCACGCCGAACTTGCCTGATGCTTTCTCCAACTTCACTCCTGTGTACTTCGTTGCACACGTGTCGTCACCATCCTCTTCGTCCTCCGTGTCTGACACGAGATCCTCCTCTTCTTCTGCCTTCACCGTCTCGTGGCCGCTCGTATCTCCCCACGCATCAGCTCCAGCCGGCACCGTCACCCCGAGCAGCGGTCTCCCGCGGGTGAACATCCAGTGAGGTATGGTCCCTCCCGTCAGCAGCGGGTTTTGCAGCAAGCCCGCTGTCGGATCACATGCAGCGAACGAGGAGGCCAGCGCAACACGGGTGGCATTGCGTACGACATCCTCCTCTGGACTGCTGTCAACAAGCCTTTTGCGCCCGGATGGACGCTGTGGAGTGTGTGGGGCATTCTTGGTGCCACCTGCCTCTGCTTTCGCGCCGGATCTCACGGGGTTGCCTTGCATCAGTAGTTGGGTTGCAGCGGACACCACCTCCTTGCGCCTCAATCCCACAAAATTGGATATGACGGTGAAGCTCGCGTCCAAGAACATCACATCGTTCTTCATATCGCAATTTCCCTCATCATCGCCGTAACCCGTGCGTCATCCCCGGCTTGACTGACCGGTGCTTGCCTCACATCTTCGATACCACCGTTCCTCTCCCGCACTACTGCCCCCCCCCCCTGTTACCCGGCCTGCGTCCTGCGGGGGAATTTCGATCCCCAGCGCTTCCAATTGCTGAATGAGATCTCCGGTCGCGTGTGCGCACAAGTCGCGCCGCATCTCCCGCCGGTATTTGTGCGGCGTCACTCCATGAAACCAGAGCCCGCTCAATAACGTGGTGAAGTCGGACATCACCAGGGTCTTCAGGTACTGGCAAAAAAAAATCCCACAGTCCTGCTTGTTCGGCTGCTGTGGCAGCTTATCCTCCTGCACTTCGACAAACGCACACTACAGTTAGCAATCCGTCTACCCTCGTAAACATTGTGCACACAGGTATGCACATTCACTGGTACCCTCACCCGTAATATTATGCACTCCGCATCCAATAGGAGCTTGTCAACAAGCTCCATGTTTGCGTCGGGGTTGCTCGCCTTCGCGAGTTCGGACAGCACTCTGCACGTTACAGGCCGAAATCGTTAAAACAAGTTATGCATCAGCTGCCAGCGACATGCAACGTCGACAGTGAACCCCGTACTCACAGCTTGGTGCCTGCAAAAATCATGCGGGTGTTCCTTGTCTTTATGTTACTGTCCAGCAAGACCAACTTCATTCGCTCTTTGCCTTCGGATTTCGCGGACTTGGTAAGTGTCAAAGTTAGAAGGAAGAAAGAGAATGAACTAGCAGAAATGGGGATACAAATAGCAAACCCTAGAAGGGTTGTACTCGCTATAGAGCACCCCACTACAGGCTAGAACATAAGATAATATTCTGACACACCCCCATAGCCAAAGTGGGGTGTAATCAGCAGAGCAGGCAAAGCAAAACAAGCTCAGGGTGGATCACAATGTCACCACACATTCTGAGCACAAGTTCAAGAAGAAATAGTTTAGAGTGTACAATTATAAGCAAAGCTAGTGGTAGTCACAACGGGCAAGTGAGGAGGAGGAGGGAGAGTGAGGGGAGAGGAGACAGGAGGCGACGGCTGAAGCTGCAGACACACAGGCAACAGTAGGCAGACTGGCACAGCGGCTACCGGGCGAAGCCCCCGGAATACTGGAGTAACAGGCCCCGCGGCTAAAGTAGCGGCAGACGAGCAACGGACCCACGGGCGGCTGGCGTAGAAGTCTACGACTGGGCTACCGGACGAAGTCCCCGGACTACAGGTGCTGCTGGCGACACGACGGCAACCTCCGTGCAACTTCCCCAAACAGTCCCACTCCCCCGACACACACCCACTGCTACACCACTAGCTCCACTCCCACGCACCCCCCTTAAACCCTAAACCCAGTCTCCCACACAACCACCCCCCTCAGCGACAGCTGCAGTAGTGGGAGACGAAGGAGGAGGAGGAGAAAGGGAGGAAGGGGACCGCGCACACCCGCCACCCCCATACCCGTCACCCCCATACCCTGAGTGTGCGGTAAGCGAGCTCAGGTGTGCGCGAAGCATGCACAAGCGTGCGGGAAGCGAACTCGGGTGTGCGGTAAGCAAACGCAGGTGTGCGGGGAGGGGGGGGGGGGCCGCAGGGCGACACGCGGGTCGACGGGGATGGGCACACCGGTCGCCGGAGGCGGCGCGCGGGTCGACGGGGCCGCCACTAAGGGCGACAGGGAGCCTCGCGCGGGTTGACGGGGACGCCGCGAAGGGCGACGAGGAGCCGCACGCAGGTCGACGGGGACGGGCGTGCGGGTCGACGGAACGCGAAACCGCCGCGTGCGCCCAGGGTGCGCGGTGGGCAGAAAACCGCCACGCGTCCTGAGCGCATGGCGTGCAGAATACCGCCGCGCAAAGCAGGAAACCGCCGCGCGCCTCGGGGCGCACGGTGGGCAGAAAACCGCCGCACGCACTGAGCGCGCGGTGGGCAGAAAACCGCCATGCGCCCCGAGCACGTGGCGGGAAGAAAAAACTGCCGCACGCCACGGGGCGTGCGGCATAGAGAGTAGCAGTAGCAGTTGCAGCGGAAGCAACGAGGTGGTGAGCCCACCCACAGGATCGATCCAAGGGGATCGACCTGCTCTGATAGCATGTCAAAGTTAGAAGGAAGAAAGAGAATGAACTAGCAGAAATGGGGATACAAATAGCAAACCCTAGAAGGGTTGTACTCGCTATAGAGCACCCCACTACAGGCTAGAACATAAGATAATATTCTGACAGTAAGCACCGATGGAGATACAGCGATGACGAGCGAGTAGTGCTCCCTACGCTCAACATGAGAGGGTATGTTGGGATTAGGGTTAGTCAACCATCGGTGTCATGCTAAAGAATCCACTCACGAACCGAATACTTGTGATACGTACCCCTCTAGCACAGGGATCGCGAGATAGTCGTGCTGCAGTAGAGGAAGCCCGTTCCCCAGCGTCAAAGGCGCACCACACGAGTTCGTCTGGAAGTACGCCTTGCAGTCCAAGGCAGCCCATGTTTTCCCGTCACGGAGAGTCGGCTTCCGGATGCTAAGCAGCCTGCACAGGTAATGAACAAGAAATAACAAAGCGTATTAGATGTTGCCCATGTCAGAACATTATAGCTTACTCATTTATGTAGGCTATAGTGGGGTATCCCATAGGGGGTACAACCCAGTTAGGGTTTCCTATTTGTACTCACTTCGTTCATAGTTCACTCATTCTCTCGTTCACTTCTTGTCATGGAATCAGAGCAGGTTCCCCTGTGGGAACTGTGCTTCGGGCCCACCACCTAGAACTTTTTTTTTTTCTGCCCTGGCGCCCGCCCTAGCGCCCGCCCTAGCGCCCGCCCTAGCGCCCGCCCCTTCGAGCCGCCCGTTAGCGCCGCCCGTTAGCGCCGCCCGTGCGGCTGCCCGTTCGCGCCGCCCTTTGCGCAGCCAGTAGCGCCGCCCGTGCGGCCGCCCGTTAGCGCCGCCCGTGCGGCCGCCCGTAGCGCCCCCCGTGAGCCGCCGCCCGTAGCGCCGCCCGTGAGCCGCCGCCCGTCGCGCCACCCGTTAGCGCCGCCCGTGCACCGCCGCCCGTGATGCCGCCGCCCGTGACGCCGCCGCCCGTCACGTCGCCCCCCCCCCCCCCCCCCCCGTGACGCCGCCGCCCGTCCCGCCGCCCGCCCGTCACGCCGCCCGCCCGTGAGCCGGCGCTGCCCGCGAACCGCCCACCCGTGGGCCTTCAGCCCGCCCGTGAGCTGCCGACGCCGCCCGTGAGCAGCCGACGCCGCCGACGCCGCCCGTGAGCCGCCGACGCCACCGCCGCCACCCGCGAGCCGCCGACGCCGCCGACGCCGCCCGTGAGCCGCCGACGCCGCTGCCGCTGCCGTCGCCCGTGAGCCGCCGACGCCGCCGCCGCCGCCCGTGAGCCGCCGACGCCGCCGCCGCCGCCCGTGAGCCGCCGTCGCCCGTGAGCCGCCGTCGCCCGTGAGCCGCCGACGCCGCCGCCGCCGCCCGTGAGCCGCCGACGCCGCCGCCGCCGCCCGTGAGCCGCCATCGCCCGTGAGCCGCCGACGCCGCCGCCGCCGCCCGTGAGCCGCCCTGGCCGCCCGCCCAGCCGCCCGTGAGCTCCCCGCGCGCCGTCCCAGCCGCCCGTGAGCCGCCACCGAGCTGCCCCAGCCGCCCGTGCCGCCGCCCGAGCCGCCTGAGCCGCCCGAGCCGCCCGCGCCGCCCGCGCCGCCCTAGCCACCCGAGCCGCCCGAGCCGCCCGAGCCGCCCGAGCCGCCCGCGCCGCCCGAGCCGCCCGAGCCGCCCGAGCCGCCCGAGCTGCCCGAGCCGCCAGAGGAGCTGCTCTCCTGCTCCTGTCGGGCTACTGCTGCTCCTGGGCTGTGTACCTGCGCCGCTGACCTACCCGACTCTTCCTGCCCGGTGAGACTGTCAGCTGCTGTCATGGCCACCCCCAATGTCCTAGCTTTTGACGCTGAGGGTAGAGCCATTGACTTTGCAGTCTGGATTGAGGACCTGCAGCTGTACTTACTGTGTGATGCGGTCGATGAGGTCTCTCTCTTTGACTTTGTCTCTGGCGCTGTCCCTGCCCCTCCTCCTGATGCTGATTCCGCCGTTCGCTCCAAGTGGGCGACCCGCGATGCTGCTGCACGTCTTGCTGTGCGTCGCCACCTCCCTTCCTCCGAGCGTGCCCACTTTAGTCAGTGCAAGACCGCTCAGGCCTTGTACGACGTTGTAGTTGCACGCTACTCCTCCCCTTCCTCCGCTACGCTGAGCCGCCTCATGCTACCTTTTCTCTTCCCTGACCTCGCTGCCTTTCCCACTGTCGCTGACCTCATTACCCACCTCCGTGCTAGTGACGCTCGCTACCGCGCTGCCCTTCCTGCTGAGTTCCGCGCCGCCAACCCTCCTCCCATGTACATCACTCTCTACTTTCTTGTCACCCGTCTCCCTGAGTCCCTTCGTGTCGTTAGGGACCAGTTTCTCTCTGTCTGTCCCACCACCCTCACTGTCGACCTCCTTGAGGAGTCCCTGCTAGCGGCTGAGAAGAGCATAGTCGCTGTAGGGGCCTCTCGGGGTGACCCTCGCACCCCCATCTTTGAGGGGTGTTCTCCTTCCCCCCTGCTGCCCTCTGTCGCCTCTGCCGCTGCGGCCGACCTCGCTGGTTTTGAGTCGGTCGGTGCGGCGTCTGCCCCCAGCGGTAGACGCCGCTCTGGCAAGGGCAAGGGGGGCAAGGGAGCGGGTGGAACTAGAGGAGGCAGTGGCGGAGGAGGTGGGGGTGGCGGGGGGAGTGGGGGTGGCGGTGGAGGTGGTGGCGGGAGTGGAGGTACTGGTGGAGGCGGTGGAGGCGGAGGTGGCGGCGGAGGCGGTAGCGGAGGAGGCGGGGGTGAGGGTACCAGTGGGGGCGGTGGCGGTGGAGACGGGGGCGGTGGTGGAGGCGGGAGTGGCGGTGGCGGCGGGGGTCGGAGTGTCTCGTCCCAGCGCAGCAGCTCTGGGGGTGGTCAGCGCCAGCAGCAGCAGCGCTCTCGCACCGTCCCCGCCCCTCAGCAGCTCCGTGAGTGGTACTTGCAGCGTCAGCGTGGTGGTGCGTTTGGTCCCTGCCCCTACGTTCGTTGCACCGGCGACCGTGCGGGGGAGAGGTGTGGAGGCACCCACACGGCCCGCCGCTGCTTTGGCCGCCTGACCGACGCCTGGCGTCAGCAGTTTCCGGAGGCCGCTGAGATCCCCCGCTGGGGGGAGCTGTCTAGGGCTGGTGTAGCCATTTATGATCTTGACTTTGATGCTATTCTTTCTGCTATGTATG